TCCACAATAAAAACCTTAAATTAAAAAAAAAAAAAAAATACAATGGGATCTTCCAACAAATTTTTGCAGCTCTCTCATACACTAGCTAGGCAGGTGGGTTTACGATGTATATGGACTCCTCATTTCTGCTGTCCCCATGAGGACAAGTTTCTGGCATCCCTAGCTGAAAACTCATGTACACATAAGTCCCACAGATAGTAACTCATTTAGTAATGTAAGATACAAGACTAACAACAATTAAGTGAAAATTACTAACACCAAAAGTGCCATTTTATCAGAGACTAAGATTATTAATTTTTGAGAATAGTCATTAATTATTACCAAGGAAGACAAAGAACACATTCCAAAATTTTGAATATAGGATAATTAAAGGACTCAAATATGTATATATTTAAGATAAAATATCAGTAAGAACTTAAGTAGTTTTTTATTTTTTAAAAAATATATACCTAATAAAGAATGTGCTTTTTTGTACTTACAGCACAGAATTCTTCAAAGGATATTCTTCCATCTCCATCCTTATCTGCATTTATTATGGTTTTGTCTACAATTTGCTGTAACTGTGTATCTTTCAGATTGTTCCCCACCATCATCTTCAGCACCTGGAAGAGTTCCCCATTGGAAATATAGCCATCTTTATCCATGTCGTAGATACGGAAAGCAACTTTTAAAAAAAAAAAAGAGTAAGGAAAATCAATAGTAATTACAAGATAATTACAAATAAATTATTTTCAATGAGACAAAACAAATGGACAGACATCCAGAATTAGGATGATGAGGATGACGTCTTCCTAAAAAAGTCACTCTTAGGGCAGTTTAACATATTATAAGCATGGTTTATGGACTCATGACTGCCGGGCCCAATTAGTAAGATCAGCATTGGACTGTTAACCACAAGGTCAGCTGTTCAAACCCACTAGATGCTCCTTGGAAACTCTATACAGGGTCACTGTGAGTTAGAACCGATTCTGACACATACACGTACCAACAACAACAGGGGCAAACTGGAGCCCTTGTGGCACAGTGGGTGACACACGGGGCTGCTAATCACATGGTAGGTGGTTTGAATCCACCTGTCACTGTCCAGGAGGAGATGAGGCTTTCTACTCCTGTAGATACTCCTGTAGCTATTTAGAGCCTTGGAAACCCGACACAGGGTTGTTATGAGTCAGAACCAACAAGAGGGGTAAACCGAGACCTGGTATGGCACTTAGGATAAGCAATGAACTGCTAACTGCATAGTCAGCGGTTCAAATTCACCAGTTACTTCTCAGAAACCTATACAGGGTAGTTATGTGTTGGAACCAACTCAAGGGCACGTAACAACAACTGGGGACATTATTTAGTCTTATTAAGCATAACTTTTGCATCTGTAAGCAAATCTGGGGACACTAACAGCTTTAACACCCTGATTTTTTTATGAAGAGTAAATAATACATTTTAAGAGTTGAGAACAGTTGTATGATACACAGCAAAACTTCAATAATATTCACATTGCCACTGAACAAAGCAAACCAAAATTAATTTCTGTATTTTATATAATCATTTCTACAAAGCAAGTTTTTCATACTAGTATTTAACATGGTTAATTCTTGCTAATTTGTAAAAATTGTTTACTGTTAATAATGCAAACAGATAATTTTCAATGATCCTTAAGTAACATTTTATTCTTAATGGATTTAAACTGGTGATAAGCAAACCAATTTGAAATACAATGTGAATATGTGCCTTTGTATTATAATACTACAGAGATTCTTGAAAGCTAAATTAAAAACACGTCTTTTGTAGCATGTACTGCATGTTTATAAGATATGTAGTAAATAAAAATAAAGCACACACACACACAAAATACAAATTGTTATTGCTATTATTCTCATTTATATCAAGAGTTTTTCTGCATATAAACTCCCCAGCCTGAGAAAAGTTTTACTGAATAAATGTCTTTCCAGTTAAGTGTTTAACAATTTTTAAAAGGTATCAGATGTTCACTATAATGTAGAGTACCTGCATAAAACAAGTACTGAACTAAAATGCACTAAATATTTCTGAATAAGGGGCAATGTACAGTAACCAAAGTAATCTAATCACATTTGAACATTTCTCCCTACATTCATCAAAAAATTTCTTATCCAAGTCATATATGCATTTCATACAGCTATTATAAAAGAAAATTTATTTTCCTTCTATCCAACAAATAGACAATGGCATATTACCAAAAATACTATCTGCAAATAAAAGCATTTTCACCAGAATCCAAAATTTGTTTTATCTACTAAATATCTGGAATAAAAGACAACTTTTAGAATGTTTTACAGGATGACGATGCAGTATGGGGTGGTGGTGGTATACAGGGAAAGATACACTCAGTGAAGAAAACATACTTACACCTCAACTTCTGCTCCTTATCTCCTTTGACACTGAATTGTGACACTCCCTCAATGAATTCTGAGTAAGAGTAGAAAATGTTTCCAAATCAGAAGTTTCAATGTTTTACACAAAAAAATAATGATGCTTACCTTACATACCCACAAAAGGATATTTTGCTACTGCAAAAGAAAAAGACTACTAGCAGTGTTCTAAATGGAAAATGTCAAATTTTAAACTTTTAATAAATAAGGTTGTATATATATTTTTTTAATTTGAACTTTGAGCTCTCTAAGGTCAAATCCATTTGAATAAGTATTTATTACAAACAGTAGAGCCAATCACAAACACAGAAAAAAAGCATTTTTAAAGAACTATTTAACCGTCTTTTCAGAATGACTCAAAAAGGAGGATTTTAACATTATGAGTTATTTAAACCAACTGTTAGAAGTTTCATTACAAATGGTCATTTCTCTTTATTGTCTGCGAAACACTAAATCATTGTTACTTTCAGATCCCGTCCCTTAAAACTCATCTTCCCAAACTAAAATTCCAAAATCAGTTGACAATTCTGTAGTAAAACAAAGCATATATTTAAAGAATCAAAAATAAAACTATGTATCACATTAGTATTATAAACACATTATCGAATCTTTGTAAAATTTGATTTAAGTAGATAAAATCCTCTTCTAAGGTAATGCACACATACTTCCTACTACAGTGTTGTATAAATGGCTGACTTAGTATAAGTCTTATTCTTACAGAAAGTTAAGAAAATGCAACTTTGAACATTCTAAGTTTTCAAAAAAATTAAACCAAAGGAGACAGCAAATTCCTTCTTGTTTAAATTATCTTGATCACTTATGGAACAAAGCTCATTATCGTTCCCATACGATAGATTTTGAGGCTTATTTATAGCCTATTATTATAAGATCACCAAGAACATTTAAGAAAAACAAAAAAGTTTCAGATATTGTTATACATAGAGATAAAAGGTTATCTATAGCTTGTAATTTTTCTTTTAATTAAACAAAACAAAAAATGAAAAACTGCTTTCTTACCTTTAAAGTCTACTTCTCCATTCCCATCTGTGTCAAATATATCTATTACTCGCTGTACTAAAGGGTTCTGTTGTAATTCGGGCAAGGACATGAACTCTTCCACACTCAAAGAACCAGAATTGTCCAAATCAAGCTTCTTAAATCTCTTTCCTAGTCTTTTGATCTCATCAGCATCAACTAAAAATAAACAAAAAGGACAGTAAGATTTACAAAGTGATTTTATGATGGTTTGGGGTGTGTATGTCAGTAGTAGGTTCCAATAATTTGATTCAAAAATTAAATGTACTGTTGACTAACTTTTCACAACCACAGAAAGTACGCCATAAATGTTTTTATTTGGTTACCTTTCTGTTTGCTTGTATCTGCTATAGCACTCACTCACTGTTTGCTGAGTACCGGGGCAGGGCAAGATTTATAAGGCTAAACAAATCAAAGGAGTTCTGATAGCATAGTGGTTACAAATAGAGCTGCTAACCTCAGTCAGCAGTTCGAAACTACCAGCGGTTCCACGGGAAAAAGATGAGGCTTTCTGCTCCCGGAAAGATTTACAGCCTCAGACACGCTGTATGGGGTTGCTTTGAGTCGGAACCAACTGCATAGCACATAACCACAACAATCATGCAGGTCACACATGGCTTCTTAGTAGACAGGCTGACTCAATCTCTGTTCTGTCCAATAGTTCTTGTTATTTCTTTCAATCTTACTTTAAATTCACTTTTCAATGCTTAACTAAACAACCTGACAAGAAATGTTTACACTAATTTGCCAGAAACTTCCATATCAGATTTCTTACCATCGGCAATTTTTAAAAACATTTAAGTCACTTTTTCCCTAAACGATATCATTTTCCCAATCCTTTATGATGTTGTTCTTGTTATATGCCGTGGAGTCAGTTCCAATTCATAGTGACCCTGTATAGGGTTTCTGAGGCTGTAAATCTTTACAGGAGCAGAAGGCCTCATCTTTCTCCCATGGAACAGCTGGTAGTTTTGAATTGCTTACCTTGAGGTTCACAGCCCGATTCGTAACCACTATGCTACCAAAGCTCCATCAGATTAATTCAGAGACACACTTTTTTAGTAGGGCTTAATAGAAATAATGGAGTCCTGGTGTGGCTCTGTAGGATAAACAATGGGCTACTAGGCATAGGTCAGCAGTTCAAATCTACCTGCCACTCCTTGGAAACCATATGCAAGGTTACTATCTGTAAATCAGAACAGACTACAGGCCACTTAATAGAAATACGAATATCTTCTTGAGCAAGAAATAAAATAGGAGATCACCAAACTTTTAAGACAAAATTTTAAGTCAAACGTTATACTGCCCGTAAGTATACATGTATTATGGGCTACAACAGTAGAGACTATGACTGCTGTTTTGACAATTTGTATTATCTTTCATTTAAGAATTAAATGTCAAAGCATATGTTTTTAAAATATAAAAATACTAAACTGGAATCTGAGCTATAATTATTTACAGCTACAAGATGCAGCTATGACATAAATTAGTTCACACTATAACTGATAACGAGGAGTGTAATGTCAGTAGAGCGTGGACTTCCTATTGGCTTACAATGGGGATTTCCCCAGTTTGTTGGATAGGGATCAGAAGCTAGCTTTTTCAAATTAAAGAAAGTCTTTATAGTGTGTAACGACCTGAAGAACATAGGTTAAAACAAAAAGTATCATCCTTTTCATAAAGGAATTGCAAATGTTAAAGCTGCAAGAATTGCTAAACTTTCCAACATGGCTATGGTACCTGTTTAAAACATCAGATGAGGATACTGCAAAGACAGTTTCTCTTGTTTTAACACTGACCCCACCTCTGAAAGAACAACTAATACAGGTGGCTATGGAGTCCTGGTAGGGCACTGTGAATTACTGTGCTGGACTGCTAGGTTGATGTGAACCACAAGGTTGGTGGTTCAAGCTCATCAGCCGCTTATCAGATACCTTATACAGGGTTGATATAAGTCCGAAGTGACTTGATAGCACTTAACAACAGCAAAGGTTTTCAAGAACACATAACAACAGAAATGCCTTCATGTTAATTTAATGATTCATCTTAACATTGCTTTGTACAATGAAGTACATGAAGGAGCTTTAGAATGTTTGTGAATAAATATAATTAAAAGACAATGGAATTTTCCCAGACTTTTGAAGCCCCTTATATGTATGTATATGCCCATGCAAACACACACACAAGAGGGAGCTTCAGGAAAAAAAGGAAAAAAAAAATCTATGGAGAAACTCCATTATCTTTTTGTTTTTAAATTTTTATTGTGAACTGAGTGCTAGTTTACATGGGAAATTATCAATTTTATACTCATTGTTTCATTGCAATGGTTACAATCTCCTCCGTGCATGAATGCAGAGTCCTCAGCTGCTCTACTTCTTCTTCACGTCCTCATCTCTGCCTCTATCTCTGGTGTCAATACTTCTCTAGATAGGGTCCCACATTCCGCTTGTGCTCTTCTCCCTTGATGATCCTAGGGTCCTCTATTCCTGGACTGTAAGATTAACTTCTCCTCCCTTTTTGTTACAAAACTTCTACCTTTACAGTTGTGAGAGTTGCAATTAGTCATGATAACAATTACTCACTATTGAATCATAAGAATCTTGTCCCCATCTCTTTTCACCATACCTGTCTACACAAGATGAAAATTATTCAGTGAGGGGTTTTATACCTTACCCTGCATAGTCTGAAACTAAACTCCCTCTTGAAAACTTGTAAGCCAGTCAGTCACTTCATGCTTTTGTAACACCTTTCCCCAACCCATTTTAGGTAGCCAATGTCCAAGCTGCCGGTCCCTATCAACCCTGTATACAGAGGGAATAGGATTGAACCTTTATGTGAAGACTCCTCTCTCAGTTGGTATTCTGAGCTAGTAATTACAAAACGGACTGCACACCTTAAGTCAGCAGTTTGAAACTACCAGCTGTCCTGTGGGAGAAACATGAGGCTTTCTGCTCCTGTAAAGATTTACAGCCTCGGAAACCCTATACAGGGTTACTATAAGTTGGAACTGACTCCACGGCACATAACCACCACCATTCATAAGAATAGGTCAAGTTCATCAAATTGAAGCAATTTACACTTGTTTCCTTAATCAATTTTGTTGTTTTAAATCTCCCTCTAGTCAAGTTTGATCATCAAAATCATCAAAGCTAGGTCGGATGGGTACTATCTACACGTTTGAGTGTTCTTGTGCATCTCCCCTCATTTCACATCAGTTGGGTGCTTCACTCTCAGCTCTAGCCCTCTGTGGCTATGTCCCTGTCCATGGGCTCAGGTGTCACCAGGTCTCACCACACTTTGGACCAACCAGCCCTTCTTCTTCTCTCTCTCATCTCCAGGTCAATGCGATTCTGTGAAACGTGGTTGAATTCAGCCCCTATCTTCATGCTGCCTTTCCCCTCTTCCACTCATCAGCAGACCTCCATTATCTTTTCATTACAATATTTTTACAAGAACTTTTGAAGCACCCTCTTACATGTACTTCATTTTTTAAAAGGTAGGTAGAAAAGTATACCTACAAAAAGCATAGAAACTTAAAAAAAAAATGATATTAATTTATTGAAGATCAGGGACCACAGACAATATTTTAAAAATCCAAGATCAAAAGGTCTGTAGGAAGTCACCACATAACTGTGTACATTTGAGGATCAAGGGCAGAAAATCCCTACCTGATGAACACAATTAAGCAAAGGATGTATACCATCCATCACACATTTGTTTTGGGACAACATTATCTAAAATTACATACCTGTTTATAAATACACATTATCATATCAAAAGCTACAAAGAAACAACAGGAGTTAAGTTCCAAAACGTGCTATCTTTCACAAGGCCTTCTTTTCAATCTTGGGGTTTTAAGAACACCTTCTTTGTCTTGGTCTTTTTCATGATTCCATTTTCATCCTCTTCATAATTGGCTTGATCTCTTTTCTTGGCAAACTTTTTTCCAATTGTCCCCACCAGGCTTTCAGACCGTCTAGCCATTTCTTTATCGGACACATCAAGTTCCACTATTTCATCTTCAACTTCTTAGGCTATGTTCTTAAAGTTTATCTGAAGCTTTAATTTATCAACCTTAGGATTATATCCATGGAACGACATTCTTCCGTAGAGAAGGTCCTTGTATAATGAGACGCTCTGCTCTTCGATTATGACGCTCTCCTTCTCTTTCAGCTCTGGCAAGTCCAAAAAAGCAATAATCTTCGCTGATGATTTTCTTTTCTTCTTCCAGCTGCTTCTTGGTTTCTGAGTCTAGTTCCCTTTGCATGAACTTCATGCGCAGCAGGTTCTTGGATAACTTCAGCCTGTGCTTGGCCACCTTTGTGCCACCCCAAAAGGCATAGAAACCTTTTGCAAACAAAAATAATCACACCGTGAAGCAATTGTTTCTTGGCGTGTCCTCCTCCACCCTGTTCTATACATTTCTGAAAGCAGTGTTTCCATCTTTCAAACCCTTCCTCCCAAGAATTCTGTGCTTTTCGATTGGCATTATATCAAAATGGCAGTTTTAGCATTCTTGAGGGACTCAAATCATGTTTCTTTTCAATGTTGTGTTTGGGGAACAAAACAGTCTGAAGAGGCTAGATTGATACTGCAGGGTGGATGGGGTAAAATTTCCTAAGATAGTCTCAAAGGACAGCCCTTGCATTGTTATGATGAAAATTTTTTTCTTGGTGCAACTTTCCTGACCTCCTTCTCACCAATGCAGTTTTAAATTTTCTTCAAACTTCTTCCTAATAAGCTACTGTGATCGTCCTTTGTCCTTCAAAAAAATTTTTAAGATGACCACTTTGGAATACCCAAAAAATAGTCATCATAGCCTTCTGAACGAGCCTCTCTGCCTTGAACTGAACAGGCCCAGTAGATCCCCTTTGAAGACACTGGATAGTACCTTTTACTGTGAAGGCAACCTAATGAGACTAAGACAAGTGTATTACTAAGAGAACTTGTCTAGCCATCACTGATAAGAGAGACATGTTCAAATACGCCTTATTTGGAATAAATTCATGCATGTAAGAACTGGAACTCTACTACTAATACTTTTTTTACTTCCCTCATGTAAGAACATGATTAAAATTTCAAATACATACTTGATGAAGACACTGACTGCATGATGCTTATTTTTCTATTAATGGTATAGATATAAAAAGAAAACTATT